GGAAGCTACAACTAGCAAACATTGTTACTACTAGTAAGGCACCTGTTACTACTAGCGTGGCACTTGTTACTACTAGCTTCTTTATTTGAACTATAGTCTATAATTAATAAAGGCTAGTAGCTTCGGAGCAAGGAAGCTACAAGACCAAAATGTTGCTAGAATGCGAAACCCTATGTCATCACACGCGGCCCATCCAATGCCTTGTGGAATTTGCACATGAAGTTTCCACGTTGAGTTTTCCTAAAAGTCTAGGAACCAAATCATTAGTGCAATGTTCGCTACTAGGAGCAAAGGGCATCGCTACTAGGAGCAAGGAAGCTACTAGGGGCTCCTGGCCTTACTACTAGGAGCAATGTTCGCTACTAGGAACCAAATCATCAGTGCAAGCGCTTCTTCAAAGGGCGGCGGGGGGGAGCTTCCTTGAAGCGTGAATTATCCTGTGTCCATATGTAGTAGTGTCCTAGTAGCTAGGAGCGAACAGGTTTGCCCTCAATTAAGTAGGCGCCTACTTAATTAAGTAAGGCAGTAAGGGTGGCCTAAAGATTATATAAGAAACTGAATTAAACATAAACACTAGACTTAAATACAGACAATAAATAATTAACACTATTTTAAGACTATGTTGTTTGTAAGCGCACGCTCACCCGCAGAGCTGATAGCACAGCGGTACTCAGGTGGATCTGGCATGTGGTTTCTTTAACTTTTTACGAAGACCTCCAATGCAAAAGCTGAAAGGTTTACAAGAAGCAACAAGGTTTGGGCTTGGGGTCAAACAAACGAATCGTGCGCCTTTACATAGCAGGATAAATTAAACATATTCTTTATAGTAGTTTTATAATGTTCAATTTTTCTTAGGGCGCTGGAACCAAGTTGGACGAATACACACGGCATGGGATTGGCAACAGCACCCACAAGAGCACCTGCGACCCGTGCCAGTCAACTCAAGTGCATCAAGTCCCAACTCATTCTTCGTCATTTGGGTTCGCTCTTGGACGTTAGGTTCTTAGGGGGGGTAGAGGACGCTACTAGGAGCAAAGGGCATCGCTACTAGGAGCATTCTTAC